ATAATGTTACTAATTTCTATTGGTTTATTGAACAGTTAATGCTTAAGTTTTTTGACCAATTTGACATGCTTATATCTGGAAATCTGAATAATTACTTTGAAGATAGCAATATGCAATATAACAACTATTGTTGATTTCCTAACATTTTGTTTTGAAATTCTGTTTTTGTGGAACCGGGGATTGAACTCAGGCCCTTGCGCTTGCCAGGCAAGTGCTTATTCTACTGAACTATCTCCCCAGCCCCTTCTGTATTATTTTAAATGGCTTTTGCTTTACTTTTATTCTCTTTAAAATAAAATTTTAAAAATAGAATAGATAAATAAGGCGCATGCCTTGAATCAACACACAACTGTGAAGCACCTACTGCGTGCCAGGCACCCTGCTAGCTTCTGGCATAAGAAGGTGAATGGAGCGCAGGCAGGCGCGTCCTCCTCCAAGCCAGCACAGAGACTGTGAGAGAGGGCGAGGAGGACAGGCTCTAGAACCGAGGCATCTGGGTGGTCCCCCACTCAGCGCTGCCTCACTGTGGGACTTCAAGCTTCACCTTTCTGCGCCAGGGTCCTCACCTGGAGAGCCAGCACAGAATTACATCCACCCCGGGGGGGAAAGGATGTAAGCGCCAAGAGCAGTGGCTGGCTCACAGCAAGATCTCATAAAAGCTGGTGATTATTATTTCTCTTTAAAGAGAGGCGTCATACACACTTCCACACGTACATTTATGGAACAAGCACCTGGGCACAGAGACACACATCCAATCCCCTCCACTTGCTGTACCTAGGAGCCCAGTGCCACCTTGGCCTAGTGAGCCTGGAGTTATATTTGCAAAGCAGGCGTGTGTTGACCCAGGGACCTCATTTCCCAACCTTCTGTCCACTGTGCTCCCTATTTCTCACCTTCCCCCAGTACACACAAATATTAAGAGCAGTTTGGAAATGTGAAGCAATACAGATGAGCTACTTCAGAAGTTGTTGACTTGTGTCCAAAATCTGGCACTCACTCAGGTGTTCCAACACTGTGCCTCAGCGTCCACTCCCTAGTGGTCAGGTACCTGTGACCAGAGTTTCTCAGCTGTGGACTCCATCTGTCTGTGGCAGGGTGTCTTGCCCGCTGCAGTGACTCTGCTGCTGGCCTGCCTTGACTTGGCCTTTTGTGCTAATAGATGCTAAGGGATCAGTCTGCATTCTCACCTGGGTTCTCTACAGAAGTTCCCATAACAAAGAAGCAAAAATCAAAGGACTCTAGGATTGTTGAGGCATGCATGGAAAGGCATTAGCCGGGAGCTGGGCACACTTCTAGCCCTAAAGGGGGCTGAAGTTTGATTAAGTTTGAAGCCATGTGGAGACAAATAGGGAAACTGCTGGGATCTGTGTTACCCAAATCTACAGAGTTGACTAGCAGCACTAAGATCTCTCACGCTCCTGCCTCCTCTCCTTACTGGAGGGGCCCAGACAGTTTTTCTCGTGGCTCACTAATTTGAACACAGGATCTCGATTTCAGTGGGAGATCCACTCATGTCCAGTGGATTGTACCTATCTCCAGCCCTGGTTTCTCCATGCGATGTCACCACAACCCTCTGTACTTCAGAGAACAGGAAGGCAGCTGCTCCTGCCACAAGCTCACACAAAGCTGCCTCTCCTCATGCCTGCTGTGTATGTGGAGCAAGGTTGGCACATTCCCTAGACTTGGATGCACTACTGGAATGCTATGCCCTGACCATGTCTATATGGTATGGGGTGGGGACTATAGACCTTGAAGGCAGGCAAGCAGAACAAATATCTTATTCAGATCCTATCGGTGCTCTTGAGGAAGTTGTTATTGTCTTCAACTTCTTTCCTCATTGCAAAATGATTCCTACCAGTAAAGTAATTAAAGCATTTATTCCTGCATCTTCAAATAACAAGAACTTAGTAAGTACCCCCTTCTTTCTAGGACTGTATATATTTTAATGATACCTACCAACACCCAACCCTTAGCCCAAAGCACTAACCTTTGATTCAGTATATGTTCGTCTCATTTTATATATTTTCCTGGTGACCGATACTTGCTGACACCTCCCAGTATTACCTGAACTACTTAAAATCTGATTCCCAATCTGTTCCTGTTTCTGGTTGCAAATTTCTCAATTACCAGTTGACCTAGAATGTAGATAAGTGTTCCACCCTCTGCCTGAAGACTGTCTTTATCTTGTTCGCTTGACTCCAAACTAAGGATTGAAAATGAATATTTCTCTCCAAAGATACAATGCATTTAGATTAACAATCTGTGGAGTGTGGTGATGCACACCTATAATCCAAGCTACTCAGGAAGTGAGGCAGGAGGATCTCAAATTAGAAAGCAAGCACAAAAAACTTAGGGAGAACTGGTCTCAAACTAAAGCAGAGGGGTAGAAGTGGGGGAGACTGGAGATTAATTCACTAATACAGAATCTCTGAGTTCAATTCACAGGAGTATTAAAAAATATATAAAATTAAAATGTTCCTACTAAAGTTACATATTTGTAAGTGAGATAAACTCTACCTAGATTATTTTTACAATATCTCCAGAATGTATTTTATAAATTTTGCTTTCTACACTGTGCTATTTTTCCAAAATTATAATTATTATTTATTCAGTTGCTTTGGATTGTTCAAGAGTCAAATTTTAACATTAAAAAAGAGTAATTACAGAGGACCCAATGCTATTATGGGCTACTGGACTCTTTGGGAATATTTTGCTGAGTTTACACACCTATAATATTCAACAACAGAACTTAAAAAAATTGGGATATAACTATGAATGTCCATTTTGTATCTGTGTATTCAAAGTGGTTGGGATAGATATATAGTTGCATTCTCTTAATGAATAGAATGATTTGTTCTAATGGTGTTTGTAAGTAGGATCACAGGTCTGCATCTTGTACAGCAATTAACCACTGGGATGAATGTATGCAGTGTATTATTGAAAAAAAATAACATTTTTGGTCTACAAGCTTTGAAATACTACATAAATATAACATATGTATGCGATAGTACAAATCTGAAAAAAAAACCACAAAACAAAGAATAAAAGGTTACTCATGTTTACTGTCTATAATAAAAAAAAGAGTAATTATTATCAAGATTTGCTGACCGACATAAGATTTTTTATTTTGCCTTTCTTGTCATAATATTTTCTTTTTCTATGCACTCTCTCTATGAGCAAGTAACTTCTCAAGTGTTGTTGTTGGTGGTGTTTAATGTATTTAGCACAGGGTCTACAAGGTCTCCCTGCACACATCGGACCAGTGATGCTCCTGTTTTCAGCCTCCCGAGTGCTGGGATTACAGGCACGCACCACCACACGCAGTCTCATTCTCGCCTCAGCGGGCCTGGGGGTGAGACGGCCCAGCAAGTCAGGGATCAAATCCCCAGTATGCTATTCGATCCCCAGCAGGTGCTTCAATCCTCTGAGCTATCTGGCTGGCCCTCCTAAGTGGTTTTTGTATAAACCAACAAATATAGTAATATTAGCAAAGATTTGCCGAAACTGCAAAGCATCTTGTTACCTTCTAACAGGTCTGTCTATGCATTTTGAAAACATAACAATTGGTTCCCACGCGGTCAAAGACACCGAGCAGCACTACTTCTATGGAGATGGCAACTGGATCAACCACAGGCAGAAAGCACACAAGATATGGCCATAGTGCTTCCTTTTGCAGTTGTCAAGGCACTGTGAAGGATAGCATGCGTTCCAGCAAATTCTGTCCTATAAGTGGCATATGCAATAGCTGCGTCTTCATTTGTAGAAGCTATTCCACTGTTGCTTGAATGAAATGGGTAATCCCATGTCATTCAGGTTTCAAAGGCATCTGTGTTAGCCTCAACTACCCAAGCAAGACAGGCTAATGTTCAGCAACCAGTTTCCCACCTCACAGCGTTAAGGAACACATACACTCAGTAATGAGTACTAACAGATGTCCATGGTGGTAGCTAGTACACATGTGTGATTTCAAAAACTACCTCCAAGAGGATAGCTCAGCGGATTGAAGTACCTGCTTAGGCAGAGTGCAGTGGCTGGGGTTCGATCCCCAGTATGCCGTGCCAGCCCCACCCCCAGGGCATGCTGAGACAGTGATTGAGACTGGGCATGGTGTCACATACCTGTAATCCCAGTGCTTGGGAAGCTAAATAATACAAAACAAGACGAACATATACTGAATCAAGGAGGATCACTAGGAGTCCGATCTGTGTAGTGAGACCTTGTAGACCCTGCAGACCACGTACTAAATACATAAAAAAGACTACCTCCAATAGGTCATGCCAGGCTTCCTCTACTCGTGATTAAGATCACAAAGTTATGTCTGATTTTTACTTTCTGAATAGCAATTCTATGCATTAGAATTGCTCATAAAATAAAAAGTTCAATTTATCTTATACACAAGTCACAGCCATACCAGGCAAAGTAACCTAGATTAAAAGAATTTTTAGCTGAATTTTCTAGTATGAATTGAATTTAACAGTTCAGTTTTACCTTGAGAATTAATGGTACACTTGGTGGTTGATGTACACTTAATTGCATGGCCTATTTACTAAACTCTTAGGGACCTATTTAGACAAGTATTAAGATATTTTATTCTTGAGAAGCCCAAAAAAGTCTTTTAGCAAATAAAAATATATTCTGTAAACTGGAAAACATTCATTATATCAGGGAAATCATATCTTTTTCTTCTGTCTTTGTACCTAATTAGGAAGATGACAACTTTTAGATTTTTTGAGGTTCTGGGCAGCATGTGAAACCTTCTTTATTTTTCTTTTTTTGAAAACTTCTTTAATAACAATATTGTTGCTCCTTTGACTTTGTCTCAGGAAAAGCAAATAACATCATTCTTTTTTCTTTTAGACCATTTGTTGGTACTGCTGACTGTGACTTGTTACTGAAGAGATGGATTGTAAGATCAAGAATAAAGTCTTCTAACTCAAGACAAAATGATGCAAGAACTAAGATGTAGTTCTTGTATACTCTAGGTTTACAACTATACAAGGTATTATAAGATCTACAAAACAAATGAAAGTCTTGTCCATTAGGGTCTTGTGAAAAAACAAAAACCCAAATGATAAATGTGTGAAAATTTTCACTTTCGCAAAAATCATCTAAAAATTCCTTTCTTTTTTTACTGTGGACCACTGTCACAACAGCTTCAGATCCCTTACATGTGTTTTCAACCACTACAGTGCTTCATGCTATCATCTTAGTAAAGGTTGTTAACTCTCAGTTTTATTGACTGATTTTTCCAGGCACAATATTACCATGTGCCATGGCTGAGAAAAGACCATTATGATTTCAATGAAATAGGATTGCAAAGTAACAATATGCATGCTTACTCTGACAATAATGGGATTTTCCTCTATTTGCGTTTGTGAAGTTTTTTATGCATCTAATTTCATGAGAATGCTAATAGTCAGGTATGTCTCTAAATGGAATTTCTTATTACATCAAGTCAAATTTACCTCAGTCCTTTAAATATCCACACTCAGGAACAAAGTAAGAACAGCTGAATAAAAGGTAGATAATAGGAGATAGAGAGAGAGACCTTTTACCAATGGTAAAAGGATACAGAAATGTAATGAGGGAGAAGGAGAAGAAGAAAAGGGGATGAAAAGAAATTGAGATGTGTTAGATATGTGGAACATCCCTCCACAAAGAATGTAAGCATGGGGCCGGGGAGATGGCTCAGTAGGATAAGCGCTTGACTGGCAAATTCAAGGATCTGAGTTCAATCCCCGGTTCCGCAAAAAAAAAAAAAAAAAGAATGTAAGCATGATGTACTGCAAACATACATGAATAAAAATAAAAACTGAAAAAAGAGAAAATCAAATATGTACAGTCTGATATTTCCAGTTGAAAAAAATTAATAACTCATTTTATTGATCATTATAGCATTCTTTTAAAAGAATATCACATACATCATAATTTTTAAAATCCAACTGGTATAAGTTACAAAAGAGAAGGGACATATTTATGAATCCAGGGAACAAAGTTTGACACCCTTGTGTAAACACCAGGAAAGCTTGGTCTTCCACATCCATGTCCCCAGCTAACAATGCCAGTCAAAATCCATTTTCCATCACTTTTTCTTTGACAAGATAAAGGTCCTCCTGAATCCCCCTGCACAAAAAGAAAAGGTAAGCATGAAATATTTGCTTCATGGTCATCAAGTTTATTATGTGGCTAATAGACTGCGTATAAAAATCTAACTCTGACTTTTTTTGTTCATTACACAGTGTCAAAAAATTATGTGAGCAGCTGTGGTGTCGCAAGCCTGTAATCCCAGTACTTGGGAAGCTGAGACAAAAGGGTTACAACTGAGTTTGAGGTCAGCTTGGATGCCATAGCGAGTTCAAGGTGATTATAACTGCAGAGTGACAACCTGCAGGGGGTGGGGGAGACAGAGAGAGAGAAAGAGAGAGACAGACAGACAGACAGACAGAGAGACAGAGAGAAACAGAGAGAGACAGAGAGATACAGAGACAGACAAAGACAGAGACACAGAGAGAGAAACAGAGATAGAGAGAGACAGAGAAACAGAGAGACAGAGAGACGCAGAGAGACAAAGACAGAAAGAGACAGAAACAGAGAGACAGAGAGAGAGAAACAGAGAGAGACAGAGAGAGAGAAACAGAGAGAGACAGAGAGAGAGACAGAGAGAAACAGAAACAGAGAAAGAGAAACACAGAGGGAGATAGAGAGACAGAGACAAGAGAGAGACAGAGACACAGACAGAGACAGAGAGACAGAGAGGGGGGGAGGGAGAGAGTAGTAAAGGCTGACATTTATTATTAGCTATATTTAGTCATTGTTTTAAATCCTGTGATCCTCACAACAACCTTACAATTATCTTGAAAGGCTGACTTCTATCTGGACCATGGGACTTCAGCAGCTGGCCAGAGGGCCCCAAGAAGGAAAAGAGCCTGTCAGCTGTGTTCACTGAAGGAGCCCTAATAGCCATGGGCCCACAGTTTTCATTGACTAATTACTTTCATTTGAGTTTCTCTTTTGACATCTCAACTCCAAATAACAAAAGTTCAGAGCATTCAAAATTTAAACGTAATTCCCTCTGTTTTAGAAGGCAAGTGAAGTTAAGAGTTAGCAGCAAAAACAAGAAAGAATCCAAATTTGTCTATTTGCCTACACATACACACACACACACACACACACACACACACGCAATTTATGGGTGGATAGGTAAATTTAAGATTGATTTGATAAATTATGACTAATAGGGAAATTGGGCCCTTTACTTTAATTGTGGCCATGTTAACTCTACTAAATGCATAGTAATTCAATGAAAAAATCTTTGTGGTTCTGTTGATGGGGCCACATAACTGATCAGCTGCAGAAAACACCCAAAATATAGTAACTTTAACAGTAAAGAAGCAAGGATTCAGTCCCAGCCCAGACATTTGCTCTGCTAGCTGTATGACCTGGGGTAATCTACTTATCCTTTCCATGCCCCATTTCCCCTTCTGCATCATTGGTCTGAAAGAATTATTTGAATTAATTTATGTAAAGGAAATAGCACAGTGCCTGTCATAAAATAGAATCTTGAAAGATTGAAAACATTATTATGAGGTTTTTTGGCATTGTGGCTAGTGTTGTGGAAAGATGTGAAAACAACTCCCAGTGTCCCCTACAACCTCTGAATCATCTGTTTACTCTGGTCTGCACAGACTGGGATCTCAGGCTCAGAGAAGCATCGCTGCCCTAAGGTTACGTCCTGCTGTACCGTTCTACCTGGGAGCTGCCCAGAAGCCCCATGTAAGTGTTCTGTCAGTTCTTCCATTCCCCCTCTTTTTCCTTTAGTCTATGTTTCAGAGGAGTCCATGAAACCTTGGTAATTTTATTTTTTTATTTATTTAGTATTTTTAGGGAAGGGTCTACAGGATGTTCAGGGTCTCACTACTAAATTGTACTCATAGTGATCCATCTGTTTACAGCCTCCCATGAACTGGGATTACAGGCGTGCACCACTGTGCCCAGTCTCACTTGCCACCTCAGCGTGCTTGGGGACAGGACCTGTACAGCAGGCCCGGTGATTGAACTTCTGGCCTCTGCACCTGCTTGCAGGTGTTTTAATCCCCTGAGCTATGTGGCCCGCCCTACCTTTGTAATTTTAGAGTTAAATAGTTGCCAGGAAGGAAATGGGTAGCAATCCTGAAACACAGTGTTTGCATCATTTTTTGTTTTGCTTTTTAGCTTTTGGGTATAAGAAAATTCAGATAAAATGAGGAATACTGAGCTCATCCTGTGCACGTTGGAAGGAATTTCAGGTGTACTAGAAAACAGATTCTATACAACCAGTTCTTTGATCACCTTTGCACGCTCTCACGCAATTAGGTTATAATTAATACCTGAGCCACTCAGATGAGGTAAGGAGAATACTTGCCCTAGATTTCCCCCAGTGTTTGTAGGTTAATGTAAAAGCTTTTGTGGGTAGTATGCCAAAGGGAAGTGCAAAATCACTTACTTTGCAGGCATCTCTTTTGCCTGACATCACTCCTGCACACAGCATCCGCGAGGTGATAATCCCATAGGTGGAAACACAGAGGGTCTGATCAATGAGCTCTACCTCTGCTTGCTGCAAAACAGGGGAGCCTTTATTATCTGGAAAACACATTGGAGGTAGAAATCATGGCACTGGTAGTAACTACACTTCTGCAAGTTTTCACAAAATTACTAACATAGACTTTCACTGAGACAAATTCTATGATTATTCCATTTTGCTGATGAAGAAAGGAAGGTTTAGGATATTGAGGGACTTTCCCAAGAACACGCAGCAGCACTCAGAGGCATTCTGACCAAGGGCAGCCTCCCTCACCTGAGTCATTCTACACTCCTTCTCCAAGTACCTCTTGCCCTTGTTGTAGGGGTTGTGACTATCCTAGGCTCTTTTTTTTTTTTTTTTTTTTTTGGTGAAACCGGGGATTGAACTCAGTCCCTTGCACTTGCCAGGCAAGCGCTTACTCTACTGAGCCATCTCCCAGGCCCTATCCTAGGTTCTTGGTAGCTCCAAAACTTGAGGTGGTCACACAGAAGCAGAAGTGAAAGCATGTTTTTATTTATCGGGATACGTTCAACAGGGTGAGAGTATGCCAATGAAAAGGGTTCATGGCCCTGAAAATGTCAGGTGTTGGAGCCTACATGGCCTTTTCAAGGTGGGAGTAATTCCTTGAACTGAAATACCAGCTCACAAGTCTCTTCCTCTCTGTTAGAGGGAAGAGTTTTTGTCCCTTTATGAACCAGGAACCTTCATGGTGCCAAAACTCAGAGGAATGTGGAACAAAACATAAATTGTGCTATAATTATTTATAATTGGGTTGAGGTCACTTTTGTTTGCATAGAATATTCTACAGTGCATATGTCCCCAGGCACAGCTTAATCATTAGATATGGCTGCTCTCTGTGGTTTCCAGAGAACTTATCTTGGGTCTCCCAGAAGGCTACAGCCCATGTGTCCACTTGTCTTCCCCAGCTGTGGCCTAGCTGTCAGAACATTATGGTTTTTTAAAGTCAGCTTCCTTTACTTCCTTCTGGCCTTCAGACCCCCTTATCTAAGGATTTTTTTTTCTGAGCAAGTTTTCCTCCCTACCTGCTGTGTCACTTTCAGAGTACTATGAGTCAGCCACCATTAGAATCAACAAATATTTACTGTTCAGGAGGGCTACTTATAAGGAGAAGCTAACTGACACATAAGAGTCTCTCAGGAGCCTTAAAAACTGAGCTCTTTCACTTCCTTTTTCACCTGTATGATTCAGACAAATACACGATTCATAAAAATACAGACACACACACACATTTGCACAGGAAAATGTCTCGTTGCTTGGGTAAACTCTCCTCTTGTGATACACGACAATGTAATCAAAGCACCAAGCTTAGTAACTTATCCGCTGGAGATACTGTGATGGCTAGCTCCCCTCTCTCACTGAGACTGATACCTCAGCAAACGCAAACTGATAATGACCACATTGACTTCAGTAACTAAAATAGAGGGCAGCGAGCGTCTGAGACGCTGCATCCAACAAATCTTTAGAGCGTAACAAAGTAAGGCTGCAGAGTGAAATTCACAGCACGATATCTGTGCTAAGCCCTGGGAACGAAAAATGAATCTGAGATGACTGGAGATCAAAGGAAAGCATTAGGACTAATGTTTGGGGAGACTTTTATGAAGTTGGACTCTGTCCTTTCTATATATTCAGTACAAACCATAAATCCTGCACCATGAGAAGCTTGTGGCATGGGTGGAGAGACTTCCCTTCCATACAGCCTGACTTTGGACATACTGAAAAAGACACCTTTTCTGGGAGGAAGAATTGCAAAAGACGTCACCTCCAGATTGATCAGTTCTAGGCTGGTGTGACCCTCAGGCCTGACTTTGTGGTCTGCAGCCTAAAGAAGGCTACACGTCAGCCCTCACTCTCGCCCTTTGGCCAGCAGCGTGGGTACCAACCATACTTGCATAACTGCCAGACAGCTGTCTGAGTCAACACAGTGGTGTGATGCATATGTCTGTCCTCTCTTTTATATGGAGTCATCCCTTTGGATGAAAAGGGAGTTAAAGAATAAAGAGGAATTGTTCTTCTATAGTGGAAGGCCTAGCACTTTGCTTTAGAGTTTGAAAAGAGCCCGTACTATCTAAACAGTCCTTCTCTCTCACTTTATCAGCTGGGTCCTGCTTCTTTGGGGTCAAATGGAAAGAATCATAAAAGAGAATTAATAATGCCACCTCTGATCTAACCTCCTGGCAACATCAAGAGGCCCAAAGGAGACAATATATACAAACCCTGTCTGGGAACTCTAAAGAAACACGAGTTGCTATCATCCATGAAGAGGGTGGTATAACAGTTCAGACACACACCTGCTTCATGCCTTCGGCCCCAGCCAGTGACCCAGCATTTCTCCCCACTTCGTACTTTCTGGCCTGCAGGGGGAATGCATATTGGCTGAATGAGCTGTTTCAGAGTCTCAGGCCAGGCAATGCTGAGCTGTAGCAAAGCGATGTCATAGTCAAAGGTCTGGCTGTTGTAGTACTCGTGGACCACAATCCTTCTCACTGGGGAGACAAACTTGGCATTTCCCTGCACGTACATCCCAAGGTGAGCTGTCCATGGGGTGGGATCTGACAGCCTAATGGGAAAGGAAAGAGCCACCATGTTAGGAGTTTGAAGACCCATATGAGAATTAAAATCAAGAACTCTACAGACAGATGCAACTGAGAAAAGAAAGGGCAAGTTTCTAGGGTTGTATCTTGAGTCACTGGCTCTGTTCAGGGATATGTCGAGAAGCACAATTCCTGAGCCTCCCTGCCTTTGAAACCAGAGATGAAACAAGCTGTTGCAGGAGTTTCAAGTTATAACTATGCTCCTGAACATTTTATCAATGGCATCATGAGGAAATGCCTACAAGTTTTCTTGTGTATGGTATTTCATGAACTACACACAAGCACAAGAATGTGAATAACTAGAATTCATTGGTTCTATCCTTCTGATGTATGCTGCCAAAGTCTTTTGATGGAAACAGCACCTGTTAGGTGGTGGTCTGAGAGTTCATCCACCAAATTCAAAGGATTTGAATGCCAAGATAAATTAGATGCTGAACTTTTAAGCAGGAGTTCAATGATATACCTTCTTGCAAACTACCTAGCCTTATAGATCACTGGCCTTCACACTCAAGTCTGACCACTCATAGGGACATCCCACTCTAGCCCCATGATCAGTGCTTCTGGAATTGTAATTTTGAATGCACCTAGACCCCGGACTTGCACAAGTCATAGAGGAGATTTTAGTCCCCATCCAAGACTTCAATCTCCACCAGCATAACAGCCAGGGAGAAGACTAGAGACAAAAAGAATACGCAAGTTTGAAGGAAAAGTAAGGACAAGCTCTAGGAATGTGGTCAGTGATCTCTTAGCTAGTATTTCATGAATGACAATGAAGACTCAAAAGAATATTAAGGTTAACAGATTCTTTGGTGCAGTTTCACAGCTTTTAAGACTAATAAAAAAAACAGAAGTGATTTTGGTAATTAATATGAATCTTGTAATTTCCTGAAAAAGCAAATAGTCAAATTATATAGCCTCCTTGAACTACTCCATTTTAAAAATTGAAAATGAGAAGTGAATGATACTATTTTCGTACCTAAGACCCAAAAGATTTCCTTTTTTCTTTTTCTTTTCTTTTTTCCCATAATTTTATTGAGAGACAAATAGCAATGAGACAGTTTCAAATCAAAGTGGTATGACAGTTTCAATAATTAACACATTGCACACTGTCTTCCTAGTGGTTATTTGCTGTACAAGATGCAGACATGCTATCCTATTTATAAACATTATTACAACAAATCCCTCTATTCATTAAGAGAATGTAACTATGTATCTATCCTAACCATTTTGAATACACAGATACAAAATGGACATTCATCTGTATACCCTTTTTTGTTTAGTTCCATCATTTGAATATTATAGGTGTATTAACTCAGCATAATATTCTAAGAGTCCAGTAGTCCATAATAATATTGGGTCTCCCTCTTGACTGGCAGTGTCAGAAATTGTGGACCTGAGTCCCCTACAGCTTAATATAACAGCATGGCTTTATTTCTTATACTTTGTTTTTATACTTTTCTGCTGGATAGTTAAGACCAAAATAAAGCAAGACCTATGCAACAAGAGTTGTAACTTTGGATCTGATAAGGTCAGTCAAATCCCCTCAGGATTTTTCCTGAGATCCTGTACCTCAGATTGTAGAACCTTTGTCAGTGTCAGCCATGTAGATGAGGCACAGCCATTGCTTGGCCAATGTGCTCTCTGTGAAAACCTGAGAGAATGTTTTCTCTCCATGTGACTCTCCTTAGGCACACTCTATATCATCGATCACTTTCCTCTTTGGCCCCATAATCTCCTTGATCAGAAAATTTGGGATACTACTGAGTTACATGACATTACAGTACAAGTTCTCATATGGCCTGAGTCTTAATTGACCTTAGAAGGCTATAGCCAAAATGTTGGCTTTCCTTGTGGCCCTCCTTTTTCTCTAATTTTGGTCTGCAAACTTAAGTTGTTAGCCCTCCAGAAGAGAAGCTTATTGTTATTACCATACAACTTAGGCTGTTAAGCTTAACCTCCCTGTCTGTCTGAATGTCAAATATCTTAGGCATAACTTGGAACAGGTATTTTTCATCAAGGATTGATATGTTGAACTTTAAGTCCCTACAGAATATGATAAAAAAACATTTTAAATATTAGAATATATTTTAAAAATAGGCATAAAGAATTATATAATTCTTATGTTTACACATAAGTCCAGAAATCTAACCATATACAACCTTGAAGCAGGACAGTACCACAACATTTCTTTTCCTGTCTCCTGCCTTCATTCACCACCCTCTTCTTTTTGAACAGTCATCTACCTGAGAGACAGCACAGCAGCAACTGGCATGTCATGACAAGCAGCCTGTATTCAGAAGACCAGAATGACAGGCACTCCAAACATGAAACTACTATTATAAATTGCCATCTTCAGTGCAGTTGCTTAGTTCACAGGTGTCTGTATATGTAGTTAGTCAGGGTGAGAATCATTCCAATCAACTGGTAGATTGAAAAATCTTCTTTCTTTTATTTTCTTAACTTTCTTTTTTTTTTCTTTCTATTTTAGTAAGGATCTACAGGGTCTCACTATGTAGATAGAGCTTGTAGTGATCCACCAGTGTTCAGCTGCCCAATAGCTGGGATTACAGGCATGCACCACCACACGCAGTCTCAATCACTGTCTCAGAGTGCCCCAGTGGTGGGTCTGGCACAGCACACCAGGGATCGAATCCCAGTCACTGTGTCTGTCTAAGAAGGCACTTTAATCTGCTGAGCTATCTGGCTAACCTTTTCAATAGATTTCAAGTAAATTTATTTATTTATTTATTTATTTAGTCTTTTTGAGACAGGGTCTCCCTATGCAGTTCAGTCCTTGAGCTCACTTTGTTGGCTAGGCTGGTCTCAAACTCACAACAATCCTCCTGCCTCAGCCTCCCGAGTACTAGGCTTACAAGCATGTGCCACCATGCCCAGCTTGATTTTAAGTAAATTTTAAGTAAACTTAACTTTCACTTTCAGTTAGAAGAACACCTATCTCTTAATAATACCATTGGCAAAGGAAGACCAAGCTCACAATGCCAACCCTAATGGTCCTTCCGAAGACACCCTGTTTCTAATCCAGTAGGGATCTCGCTATTCCAGCCACCCTCCAGTTCTCCCCTTCCAGACATTCGCCATATGGCCCCCCAAGTTTGCCCCTCTGACTTGAAAGCCCTATCTTTATTTCCTCAGTAAAGTCTACTCATTCTTTTTTTTTTCTGGTGGAACCGGGGATTGAACTCAGACCCTTGCACTTGCTAGGGAAGTGCTTATTGCACTGAGCCATCTCCCCGGCCCCAAAGTCTACTCATTCTTGATGCTTCATATTTTTTTTCTTTTATCAATACTTCTTTAAAAGTGATTGACACTCAACTTGTCTCCCTCCACTACCACTACCCCAACAAACAGAAGTCCTATGAGCTGACCATTGCATCAGAGAGCTTCTTCCCAAAGCTCAGTGCCAGCTGTATGCTGTGCGGCTAGAGCACACCACTTGAGAGTGGGGGTTGGGATACATTACCTGTTTCCGTGGAAACAGTGGGCAGCAGAAAGAAGCCACTCCCTGGAGATGACTGAGGCACCACAGTAGGCAGATCCGACAAAGTGCAGGCTGACCTGCCATGGCCATGCCCCCTCGGGTGAGTCTGCGCCCCCAACAATGCGGTACAGAGTGGAGGAGCTCCTGCTGCAGCCTTGAATAGGGTGAGGGTCACATGACTTAAAGGGAGACTTGGAAGAAAACTGGAAATTAGGTCATCTGTAGTGCTGGGCTAGGAACTGATTCATTAAAGTACCATGCAATCAATCTCCTGTTTATCTAGATAGGGAATCTGGATGTGACAAGAACCTGCATCAAGAGCCCACTCCTCCCCTTCCAACAGCA